GATAGACAAAGAAAGGCAGAGAGAGACCTTCCACTGCTTAGTTCAGTCCCCAAGTGGCTGCCAGATTTAGGAACTATTTCCGGGTCACCCACATGGGCACAGGGGCCTGAGCATGTAGGCCATCCTTGTAGAGTTTCCTGAAAGCACACTAGCTAGAAGGGAAGTGGAGCATTCAGAACTTGAACTGGTACTCATATGGGATGCTGGTATCACAAAAACCAGCTTAACCCTCTAGGCCATAGCACTCTTTCCCTTCCCCAGCTACACTTTCTCATAAGGCAGTCTAATACTCCCTTCCCCGCTGCTTGCACACCGCACCAGACACCATGCAGTTACCACCAGTGATGACTGTTTTGAGGCCATGGGTGTGACAGATAAGACATTCCTTCACCCAAGCTCCTCCATCCGCACAAGTGCCCATAATACAATTAAAGCTGCTCTTGCAGTTTAGTATATGTGCACACCCCTTATGATTTCACCTATATGATGTTCTAGAGTACACAAACAAACCACAATGACAGAAAGCAGATCAGTGGGTAGATAAAAATTTAAGAGCATTTACAGAAAAGGGAGCAAAAAACTATCTAGAATGGTAGACATATCTTAAATATTTGCCCAAATTTATCATCACCAGCATATGCTTAAAATTGATGTATTTCATTTATTTCTAATTCTGCTTTATTAGAGTTTATTTTTCAGAACTATAAGACATCGTTTTTCAGATAGCACCTGGACAGGAAATTCAAATCCTTGACCTCACACTCTGTTGCTGAGCTTGCAGAGAAACAGGCACTCATACTGTTTTGAGAATAAAAGATGTTTTAATTCATAAGGATATGACATTCTCAGAATATGCAACACTTCTGCCAAAAAATGCGTGAACTGAATCTAATCATGGGAACCTCAATTCAGAAATATTTAACTGACCCATAAGTTTTTTAAATGTCAAAGTTAAAAAGATGAAGAAAGACAGGAAAAGATTCAGATGAAAGGACTAAGTCAAGAGGCACAAAGGTTAAATGCAATCTATGGTCCTAGATTATTTTTGAGGAGCAGAATAAGATACCTATAAAGGTATTCATAATTGGTAAAATTTCAATATCAACTGCATATTAGATGCTACATCAGGATTAAATTTTTGAATTTATTGTTATACTAAATTTTTATAGGGAAATATTTTTGTTAGCATATACACGTTGGAGTCTTTGGAAATAAAAGTTTATAGTCTATGCAACTTACTCCAAAATATTTCGGTAACAAAGCAACAGTTTGAGATATAAATACAATAAATATGGAGAAGTGTTCATGACTTTTGGCCTTTAGTGAAGGTTCTATGGGAATTGTATTTAGTGGAGGTACTGCTAGCACATTATGGTTTGGAACATTCAAAGATGGACGACAGGAAAAGGAGGGGGATTCTGGGAAGGCAAAGCCAGGAGGAGGAGGAGCCCAGCTTGCTGGTGGAGAGGAGTAGACGTGTGTCCCTTTAGCATCACCACAGCCTGTGCTCACGCACCTGCAAATGGTGGCTGCATCTGTTCTTAGCACTCCTGAAAAACTCAGAGAGGCTGTCCCCTGAGATTCAGGGCCTGGCCACTCCCTACAGGAGATACTTACAGATCTAAATTGAGACCTTGGCCAGGATTCACTGCTCTCTGGAATTGTTATCATTCTCTTTTCTTGCTTTACCAACTTGTTTCACACTTCCCTTCGTTCTAACTTTTGTGTTGCTTTATTTCTCTTACTAAAGTGCACACGTGTTTTTCAAAAATGTTCATGCAAAGGTGGAATTAAGAGATATATGTATTTAGATGCAAAAGAACTTGAAGTTCATGTGCACAAGGGGTCTTCAAAAATTCCTGAAAAATGTATATTATGAAAAAACTGCATGGATTGCAAAATTTTTTGCACCCAAATGAACTTATCTTGTCATTCCATTCTTTCATGAGACTTCTGAAGCATTCTCATCAATATTTTAGAGATTCAGAATATAGTCATTTTTATGTTTCTTAAAATTTCAGTATAATAACATACTAGTCCAGGTTTAATAAATATTTGTTGAGGAAAAAAATTTGAAAAAAAGAAAAAAAAAGAAAGCAGGTTATCAATGTTTTCAATTACACATTATTGTGTGTTAGAGCCCTCTAGTGCGCAAAAACTATCTATTTAAGGAGCCCAGATTTGTAAGAATTTGAGCTAATTGTCAAGGAAATGAACTCAAGCTGAATCTAATTCAAGACTCTTTCCTTTTCTCAACTGCCATGACTGTTATTCTAGGAGGAAAGAATTGTTCCCTGTATTACAATCCATCTATTCTCAGCATCCTTCCAAAATACCTTTCCTTTGCCCCAAACTATAAACTGCACGTTTTTCATGGATTTTAGTGTATACTTTGTTAAAACAAAATATTTGTTAAAATATTTTTATAAGAGGCAAGTTACAGGATGAATAAGCCATTCCTAAATAAAGTTGTTAAAAATGTATTAGTGGAGCCGGTGCAGTGGCTTAGCACGCTAATCCCTCTCCTTTGCAGTGCTGGCATCCATATGGGTGCCAGGTAGTGTTCAGACTGCTCCATTTCCCATTCAGCTCCCTGCCTGTGGCTTGAGAAATCAGTAAAGGAAGGCCAAAAGCCTTGGACCCCTGCACCCACTCTGGAAGAAGCTCCTTCCTGGTCTTGGACTCCGACCGTTGTGGTCTTTTCCGAAGTGAACCAGCACATGCAAGATCCTCACCCCCAGTCCCACATTCACTCTAGAAATCTGCCTTTCACATAATAAATATAATAACTAACTAACTAAATCAATCTTTTTAAAACATTTTGTATTAGTGACTCAACTTCATTTTAATCACAGTGGTATGCTCATCTCTCACGCGGATTTTGGTCAGCCCATTTCCTTAATAATAACAACAGCAGCAGTGTCAAGCCAGTGGCAACTGCTGCAGAAAGGATGAACTGGAGTATGAGGAAAGTCAGCCACAGCAACAATTCCCCAGGTTTGACATTTCTCTCAACCAAAACAACAATAACAGCTGTTTTGATGGGGAGTTTGATGAAGATGGGCCTGGGAAATACAAAGAAGGAATTTTGATTTCCAGCATAGAATGAAGCCTGGAATCCTGTCATGTCACAAGCAGAACAAAATTAAAACTTAGCCACTCCTTTTAGATTCCTAGGATATGAGGTTGCTGACTAAAGATGCATTTTACAAAGAAATATAACAATGGGTGAAAGTCAAAGGCTGCAGAATCTGTAGCACATAAATTTGTACCATAGCGTACAAGATAAGGAGTAAAGGGTATTTCAAAAACCCCATTAAAATGAAATGAAAAGAGAAATTTCTTTTGTGGAAAAAATATTTGCATTTTCATGAGTTTTTGAATACTCCTCTTTTGCAAAGATTTCAAAACTTTTGCATTAAAATACATTCATTTTTTCCATTTCATTCTTCGTACACTTTTGAAGTGCATTCCTATTGTCATAAGAAAATATATATACTTTTTATATCAATTCATATTATAAAATTGATACTGTTGTAAAAATTGAAAACAAACATCAAATGTGTATCTCACACAATCAGATGTAGAGTTGACCACTTAGGACAAGGCTAATCTGGCCTCCACCACTACCAAAGGACCAATAGCACAAAAAGAGATGTCAGTATTCATCTCTAGTAGAGAACTCCAGGAGATCAGAACGCACCTGCTAGGCAGCTGGTGATAGTGGTTCAACCTGATGAACATGTACACTCTATGCTTACCTTCAGTCGCAACTCAAAGGCTGGGATTTTCTCAATTGCCATCTATCCTAAGACCAAAAAACACCCGGAACGCCTTTTAATATAACCTTTAATTACATTATCATGAAAAAGTTTTCAAATATTAAGGCTGATTTCAGTGCCCCCAAAACTATTGTTTTTAAAGGAAACAAAATCATTCTCACTGGATCTGTATATAAGATACAGCAAAGAACTTGTTTACAATATCTTCAACAAAATATTTACTGTATTCACGATATTTTCGGACAAATGGGCAATTTGCACTATGAGTGAGTTCAATCATCCTGTAATTATCCTATTTTTAGTTTTGGAGGGGGATTTTTGAGTGGATGCTTTTGGGTATTTAATATCTGTTTTTTAATGTTTAAAGCAAAACAAAGTGAACAGCAGGACTTGGGAAAATTCAGGTTTTATTTTTTTTTTCTTTTTGATCTAACAATAGTTGTTTAAAACAAGTCAAAGTAGTTTTCCTCTTCTAGTCTGAAAACAGGTTAAGGTAACTCATATTAATTTATATTAGGGATCTGCCATTTCCCCTACAATTGATTCAGCTAAATGTCAGGCATATTTTCCATTAGGTAATAGAATATTCTTTCCTAAAAGAGTGTAGACCAAAAGGTTATGATGTGTGAGAATGAAGTCAGAGAATTAAAAAGGAGATCTGTGTGCAGTCCCTTAATTTCTGAGAAGAATGTTTGATAAGAGATGGGTCAAGGTACTTTTCCTGATGTCACTCCCTCTGAGAAAATGCCTGGCAGAACTGGGCCATGAAAACCCAAAGGAAATGGGAATTTAAAGCAATTATCTAAATAATTCAGACCAAGTGGCACATTTAGGCTTTTCAAAGTCATCCATATGAGCAGAAGTGGTATCTAAACACTTTGCATCTTGGTAGGAAATTATCAGAATATTTTTCAGAAATACACAGTGATATGGATTTATCACTGGCACATTTACATTAATCATACTAGGTAAATGTTCCATTTTCCTTTTGCTTTTGCCCAATAGTACCTTTCCTCTGCCTAAGAAGTACCAAGTGTTCTTCTATTCATAGCAATTACAATTCTGTATTTCCAAAACCATACCCTCACTAAACACCATGACTTTTTCTGTCTAAGGACAAAAAGCTGACATAGATATGAAACAAAGCAGGATTTTTTTTAAAAAAAGGAAATAGTATTATCCATATACTTTAGGGAAATAAAAAGACAACACAAGCCATAAAAAATTTTCATTTTATTCACAGGGTACGTTTCCAAACTTTCTCTAAGTAAGGGAGGTAGAGAAATTGAGACTGAGTGAACCTTCTCACTTCCAGGAGTAATTATAACGAAGACACCAAAGAAAAAGACATGTTTTTACAGCAAATCTCCTCCGATGACATCGCATGTAAAATCCGTGCAAAGAAACAACAGAACCAGCGAAGACAGAAATGGATTTTTCAAGTCACACAATAAAAAGTACCAATTAAAGGGTTTTTTTCCCCTTACCTGCTACATTTTATATGAAACTCTAAAAAAAGAAATGAGAACTGATTTCCCTATACTTTCTACCTGTGGAGTTGGGCTTTAACAGGAAGAGGTAATTTCATACACATTTCAAAGGTGACTTTTTTGTTTTATAGTCTAATCTAAAATCTTTTTTTCAGTGCTATTACATTCATGGCCTGCTGGTCAGACTACATTGTGTAAGAAAGAATATTTGATTTTCTAAAAATTATTTCTTCTTGCCTCCACTTTCGGAAAAGTAGCTCCTTAAAACACCTTCCACGTGTGTGGAATAACATCATGTGCTGCAACAAAGTTAAGAGACCAGAAAGAAGCAATTTTTTTCCTAACACTTTTAGACTAACAATGCAGTACTGGTAGCTAAAGTTCTAGTAATATTCTAGATTTTTTTCAAAGAGTCAGCAGGCTTTTCCATGGAACTCTATGGATTCGTTTCCCCCCTCCCTACTCTGACGGTGGTGTGTTTTAGCGGCCACCAACCACTGTAAACTGTCTATCCTGTATATGATGAAAATAACAATAACCTACAGTCAAGACAGCCCATGGAACGGATGCTAAGACTGAATAAGGAAGCGACCGATTGACCCCTTGCTCCCGTAAAAACTAGAATTTGCTAGAGGAGTACACATTCGTAGTCTATGAGTCCTGTAGATAGTTATCCCCTATGGAGTTTCCTACCAGAAGATTCTACTACTGCAACAAAGAATATTTACAGACTGTTATCAGACTTCTCCAAGGCCTGTGTGGATTATTGTGCATTCTTATAAAATGGTCATATTTGCTACATTTTTCACTTCTGGCTGATGACACACATACAGCTTGGAATAGACACCGGTACAGCTCTAAAGTGACAGAAGCACATAAAAGAAACACGTAAGGAAACAGGAGTCAATCCAGAAAACTTTAAGGCACCCTCTGCCACTTCCCAGCCTCACCCGTCCAGGCGTCTTCATTTTTCCATGAGCGTAAATGACAGTAAATTGTGTGCATTTGTGTGCGTTAAGTACATAAGAACACAGGAAAGAAAAGCATCAACGTTTGCTTTAGGGACATTGGACACCCAAGTCTCCTGCTGAAGTAACTGTATGAACGGGAACTAAGGTTTCCGATTTCTAATTATGCACAGACATGGGGAACCACATTTAAGAGTTAATTTTATGATGATATTTACCACTGTCACTGAGACAGGAGATCGAAATGGTAGTATTGTTTTTGGGAGGATGTGTCAAAGCACAGGTGGGCGTGTTGGTGTTCCTGGGATCCAGCAGCTGAGAGGACAGGGCATGGAAGGGCAAGGACACAAGGACAGGGCTGAGACAGGCAAACAGGAGCTCTCCTCTGCCCTCCCGTGGACACTTGCTCCGGCTCACACACTGCATCCTTCAGCGGCTTTTCATCCTTAAACCCAATAGCAGGATGATGACATATTTCCTTTAGAATATTTTGAAGCAGCTTCATTCTGGGGACTGCATGCAAGGACACCTGCCCCCTGCTCACACTGCTCAGCTGCCATCCGAGTTCCCTCCCCATGTTCCTTTCAAATTACAGTCATGAGCTTGTCTAAATGATCAATTTCTGTTGGGTTTTTTTTCCGTGTAGAAATTTTTCTTGGCCTTAGGTTAAATCATGTCTGTTTCTTAGTATTGTGTAAAACATGTGTATTTTGATATGACAACTCTGAATTAAAGTACATCTATAAAGAAGAAAAGAAAGACAGGATCAATGTACTTGGCTGCTATTCTAAAAATCCAAGACAGTTTGGAATTACTGATTCTAGCCCACAGCTTTCACTGGAAAACACAATATGAAAGAATTTGGGCATAATGTTAGGATCCAGAAGGACACAAGGGAGTAATTGAACTAGTGATCACAAAATGTAACTCCACTCTTATGCTTTGAAAAATTCATCATGGGCTTTGGTTATCATACAAATGTTCACATGTCAATTTATGTCATGTGTTTCTGACATTTTAGAGATAGAAAATGTCAGAAATGTTGGTACCAGAAAGACAAAACAAACACGTGATGGAGATAGAAGGATGCATTCATCCAATGCTGCACGGAGTAAAGGTCATGTTATGTTTGTCCCACTCATGCACTTGCTTTGCTCGCTCTTCTCTCTCCTTTCCAATAAAGCTCAATCCACTTACAAAACAGGAATTTCATAGTATACAGACATGCTGTGTCTTCACATTTATGGATTTATACGTGGGAGACCTGACATCCTCCTAGCTTAAATAACTCAACAAGTCCACATGAAGGGAAAGCCTTGCTTTTCACAACCACAGGCAGCATGATCAGACTTGAACACAAGACAGCCCAATTTAGAAAGCACAGATATGAGCAGTAACAGTGGAAAGCCACTGACATTGTAAGGTTCTCAGCACCTCTCTAGGCACAATGCTAGCAGCTCCAACTCGGAGCCATGCCAGCTCCCTGGCAGAGAGAAGCCATGGATGGATAATGCCCCCTGGTCCATGCCAGGGTCAGAGGCTTGTTGGACTTTTTGAATGCTCAGAGTTTGGGGATATGGGTATTTTCTCCTTGCCACTTCACATCCATCTCCTTGGCACACAGCAGAATGAAAGTATCAACACTGTTAGTTGTTTTTAATGCTTACGTAAGCCGCTGCTAAGCTGGAAACCGTCAACTCACCTCCACCCCCGATGAGTGCCCACCAGCAGATAAGCGATCTGAGTCCGCCTCTGTGCTAGTCAGCTCTGTAGTCAAAAAGCACAGTATTACTCTTAGTCTTTACTCTGTCATGGACTTGTTGCCCAAAGTTCTCCCAGCTCCTGATCTCTGGGCTTACACAAACACAGGCTTGGTTCTGGTGCAAGAGTGTTTATGCAACACAACAAGCATTTCTTAAAATTTTTCATGGATTTGTGATACTTTCCTTTTGGATTTTTCTTAACTTGTATACATTCGTTATGAATTTCAACAATTCTTATTTTCAAAGAGAAACTAAAATTTTTGGTAGCTGACTTTACAAACAAAGGAATGGCTGGTTATACACAATAAAGTTATATAAAGATGCTGACAAGAAGAAATGTTAATATTATTTTCATTTTGCATCATCTATATAGTTTCTATAAATCTTTTGTCTAAGAAAATTTTTGGTAAATACAGAATCCCAGGATTTTTTTCTTCAGTCATTTCCCATAGTAAAACATTGCTCAAATTTCTTCCGTCTTAAGTTAAATTCAGCCTTAATAAAGTCTCAGCCAAGAGAATGGAATGAAACATCACAAAACCAAACAAAGGGTGTTATCTGAACATTGGCCATTTTCAATCTTTTACCTGAGACAAAAATAGTTAGAACGGCACCATACAGATATGAAACCCAAGGAGTTCCTCTTAGCATTCTGTGTAAGAATCATGCAATTCACATGCATAATTCTGTGTAACCCTTGGGTAAAATGTTCTGGAAAAGGCATATGCATCCAGGTGAATATCTTTCACATAAAATATGACTTCTCTTTTTGTAGGATAACTTAGTCCTTCATCTGTCTTGCTTTCACTGGCATCTGATTCAAATAAGAGTGGTTATCACTATGTTCTTAGAATCGATGCAATTTTCAAATTTGGGCCAAGAAAAATTAAGTTTCTCCCCACAATCCTTCCTTTTGCCTCCATGAAAGAAACCCAAATTTTGTTCCTAAACACAATTTAAAATTTAGTCTGATGATACCCCCTTTTTGGCAGTTATATTGAAACTGATTAAGTATTTTCTTACTAAATGCATCTACCATAACTTGGAAGTCTTCAGACCTGAATCTTAAGGGCCAGCAATATTAAATATAGTTGACCAAATTTGGTAAAATACTTGATTCAATTCTAAAGGTCTTATCCAAGGAAGGGAAAGAAAACTATGAGACTTTAGAATTCAATAGAACCACAGAAATATTCCACAGTACTTTACAATACTAGGGGTTCTTGCTTAGGAACACAAACATTTCATAATAGGGATGTATCACTTCATGCCACACAAATACACACACACATTAGTAGTAGTACATTTATCTAACAAGCCACAGCAAAAGGCATTTATGTAGAGCATACATATGAACTGTTACTAAAAAGTAATGCCAAACTGTAATCTGCCCTAAAAAACACATCCAGTAAAGCGTATTCATACTTGGAATGCTCTAGTACATGTGCATATCTGTGAGTGAAGATGACATAGAACAATCAACACTTCACTTTGGCATGATCCAGGGTTTCTCAACCTTGGAACTGGGTTTAGACTGGGTAGATATGTGTTGGTGCTGACCAGTGCCTTGCTTGATGTTTGATGGAATCCTTGGTCTCCACCTCCAACATACAAACTGCACCTTTGAGTCATGACAATAAAACCAGAGGGAAGAGAGGCATCACCCCAGCTGAGAAGCACCAGCCTAAAGAAACATTCCCAGTGTCGGCCATTTCTGTGGGCCAATCAGAAGCCATATAGAACAGTTCTGCAAATTTACCAGCTACCCACTGTGTAAATCTAATTCTATTCCTGGATTCACAATGATATGTAAAATTTCCAAGATTGCATTTTCCACGGAAATGATGATATAGGCTTTCCAGAACTCATTAGTTACAGTTCAATTTCAATAATTAAAACATTAACCTGACTGACACATATTGTATTAATCTCATGTATTTTTTGCTGGCTGATTTATTTTTTGATATTTTTTATCAGTAAAATTTACTCCTTTTTATGATAAAATAATTTAAGTAGGGTTGTCCATAAAGCAGATGTTAATCCAGCTGAATCACAGATGTTTATATCACATTTTGGCTGTCATACAGGATTTAAAAGGCAAGCCAGTTCTGGACAGAGCTGATACTCACTCTCCAATTCTTAACTTTCTAGGTATCTAGATAATCTACCTTATGTCAACCAGTTCCACCTTAATTGCTAATTCCTATAATAACCTCAAAATTCAAACACATCTAAAACCGCCAACTCCAATGATCTCAAATTTTCTCAGGGACTTTTCTTGATCTGTTGTAAGCAACCCTAATGGGAAAAAAATCCTCCTTCTTGTAGTCTCTATGAGTTACAGGATACTAAGTTTAGACCATTAAAATTCAAACATGTTGGTAGAATTTGCCAATATTGTGGTGACATTTAAATTAAGGATAGTCAGTTCTATTGAGGCCTCCCAAGACTCAAATGTGAGAGACTGCCTTTGCCTCTCTCTTGAGCATAAATGCATTTGGCTATGTGCAATTTAATAGAAGAGTTTTCTTGTGGGAAAATCAAAGTGGTGCTTCAAGCTAAGCTGCCCTACTGCTCCTAAGGGAACTAGTAGTTAATTGTACATGCCACATTTTGGATGACCATGATCAACATGGACCCATTCAGGAGATTCTGTGGGAAGCAAGCATGAACAGAACACTTAGTTCTTTTGGACAAATATTTAGGGGTAAGACTTCCTTCTCACAGTGATGAGAGCATTGTGCACTCATAGTAAGCTAGCCTGTCTTCAACCAATACACAGGGAACAGCACATGATCCACCATGACCCTCTAACACTGATGACTGATTTTTGCCATATCAAGTCATGGGAGTTAAGCTTTTCCAGGTGCGTGAGGATGAGCTCTGTCTAACTGTGAGTGTGAAAACATCTGAGCCTGCTTGTATGCACATACATGTATGTTTTATGTTGGAGTGACTGTATTATGACATCTACAAATAGGATTTGCCTTCTGTCTTCTAGACTCTACATCACTGTGCTCAGCTTCATCTCCGAACATTTAATTATGAAGACAATACACCAATTTACAAATAAATAATGCACTCACACTTGGTCATTTCACACTAAAATCATAGTAACAATGCAAACAGGCTTGCCGACCTAGACTTTATGGCCTACATTCTGAGGCAGGAAATTGGCTCATGTTATCCGGACTATGAATCAACACAATCTAAACTCGACATTGCTTCACATTGCCTAAGTGGACATGACAAAGGGAGGAGAGGCAATTCTTAACATTTCATTTTTTTTTAAATGGATGAGAATCACAATTAATACAGACTTGGTCCAACAAATCACAATGATCAGCTGTAGCATTTTGTATCCCTCTTACTCAGTAAGGGATTTTTTTTAAACCTACCCCATCACCCATGGCCCTTAAATAGGGCAAAAATAAATAGTAATTAAAAAAAACCCTCTAGTTCTAATGCCAATCTTAATAAGACAGGTTTTTGCTGTTATCAGGAAGCCAGTTTTTGCCATTGCTTAGCAACACATCTGCCTCTGCATTTCCTTTATTCTACCTTGATCGGTTCCTCATCCTCACGCTCTGCTTTGTTTTTGAACTGTAACTTCTAGATCCGATCCACGGACGTGTGCTTAACAAATACCGCTTCCTCAGCATTGTACTAGTTGCAAATCCATGATGTCCGACAAAATGATTCACAGGACAGTTTCTTTAGTTGTCTTCCAAGCTAATATTAAAAGTTTTGCATGGATTTTCTTCTTCTCTTTTCCAAGTGGCCAATAGAAATTCATGAAACAACTTGATCATTCACTTCTGTAGTCACATAGAAAAACCTAGCAAAAATACCCTGGCTCTATCCGTTCTACTTCCATGGTCTCTAGGAAGTGGATTGGAGAGAGGTGTTCTCACATGGGTCCAGCTGCATCCTCAATGCCCCAACTTTGTGCAGATACCAGAGCTGGAGAAACTCCTCTGGCATGGCGTGGAAGCCAGAGAAGGGCAAGACGTTGTCATAGTAGTGGTGGCTGATGGGTTGCTCATGCATATTCACAGAGAAGGGCCAGAAGCCGTAGAGGACCACCTCTTCACAGAGGCCCAGGGCTGCGCTCACCAGGAAGAGTCCTGTGGACAGGCGCTTGGCATGGATCCCCTTCATCTTCCAGTACTTTCCAATGCTACGCAGAAAGTTGGGGTTGGCAAATAGCACTGTTTGGTTGGCACCGACATCAGACAGTGTATAATAAACTCGGAGGGATGGCTCGGTCCCCGTCTTCATGGAAAAGGCAGGCATGTAGATATAACTGTGGTTATAGATTTTCATGTTCTCCACAAATGTCTTTCTGGACCATAGCAGGTTTTGAAACCTATTAAAGAAAATAAGCAGCTGCATTAACCCTAGGAAAAAGGAAACTTAAGAAAACCAATTTCATTGTCTTCTTGTGGCCTTGATAGTCAATCAGCTCCGAAAAATAAAAGAAAAACATTACATTTGCAATTAAAAACTTTTTTTAATTAACTAATCATCTCTCATCAAACAGCCTGCATTTCTCCTATCCCAATGCCTTAAGCTCTGTTTAATAATCCTTAATGAGATCTTCTCTGATATAAAGGCATTGTACGTTTTGTTCTCTTCCAGAATATTTGCCTGGATACGGATATGAAGGCTGACTGTACAAGATGACCTGAGGAAGGAAGAGGCTGGCAGCGTGGAGATTAGACAAGAGCTGGTGAGATAGCAGAGGGAGGGAGGAAGGGAGGGAGGAAAGAAACAGAGGAAAGGGGAGGGAAGGTTACTGGGCATAAGAGAGAGACAGCTAGGGAGAGCAAGAACCAATGATGAACTCACTGCCTTGCCACCTGTGCTTTCCTTCACAGGGGGAGATGCCCATCTCTGGTTAAGTACCAGTGGAACAGCTACAGTTCCACCAAAGAACAGAACAGCAGCAGGAAGTGTGGCCTGACAAGTGCGCAGGCTCATCCTAAACACACGATACCAAAATGCTGAAATGCAAAAGCCACAGAAATTTGTAGCAGACACTTGTTGGCTCTTGTTGCCAAAGGAAGGCAGAAAGCTGTGTTTCACAAGCCCAGAAGAGAGGAAAAGTTGTCCAACTTTGCAAGTTTTTCTCATGTTCTTGATCAAGTAGCCTACTACAGCTATTTGCCCTGGGCCCTGGCCAATTGAGAAGTAAAAAACAGGGTCCCTGATTAGAAGCACTGGATCCTAATAGGAGGCATGGGAGTACATGCACGCATTTCCTGGAGTTTAGCCAACCTCTCCAACACAATTTCCTACTTCCCGACTTCAAAATGGGCCATGTTCCAACAAATCTTTGATTCGCTCCCTTCTCACACAGACCTCATATTCTTTTCTTAAAATCACAACTGCTCTTGCAATCATGTGAATGCAGCATGGGGTTAACCTCCTACATCATTTGAATCACTGCTCTCACACTTTGGTCAGAGTAACCTGGAGAGTCCACAAATGGCCACAGTTGCCTGGGTGATCCAAGGAGCTGAACTTTGTATCTGGCACTTCCTTGTAATTATGCTATAGGTATGTGTGACATACTCTGGTGTGGAAGATCAGTGCTTCAGTGTAAGCTGTCCAGTTTTTTGTACCTCTTCCTCAGCACTTTTTTTTCTTTTCTTTCATCTTGTAGTTTTATTCTTGATTCCACTTTAAGAGGAAGCAGCCTTTCTTTTTTGGTTTTATATTTTATGACAAGCTGTTTTACACTTTCCAGATCACTCTAATTCTCAAGAGCGGTTCCTGTCTTTAAACATTCAGTCTCTCAGGATTGGCATCACAGAATAGCAGGTTAAGCTACCAGCAGCATCTCAAATGGGCACCAAGTCCTGTCCCAACTGTTCCACTTCTGATTCACTTCCCCACTAATGTGCCTGAAAAAGCAGCAGAAGATGGCCCAAGAGCTGGGAACATTGTCACCCACCTGGGAAATCCACAGTTGGTTATGGCTTCTGGCTTCTGGCTTCAGCCTGACCCAGCATTGGAGGTCGTGGCGATTTGGGTAGCAAATCAGTAAATCAAAGATTGTCTCTGAACTCTGACTTTAAATAAATACATTATTTAAAAATTTAGTTTCTCTGTCCTCACTCAGTTATACCCTTCTGTATTCCAAATGCATTTAGTACATTCCCCTCAACAATAATGAGGTATGTTTCAAATATTGGGGTGGGCTTTGGTGTCGTGGTTATGACATCCCATACTAGAATGCCTGATAGAGTCCCAAATCTGCTCTAAATTCTAATTTCCTACTAACGTGCATCATGGGTAAAGCAGACTCAAGATTAAATGCTTAAACCTCTATCACCCACAATGGAGACGTGGACTGAGTTCTCAGCTCCAGGGTTTGACCCGGCCTAACCCTCACTGCTACGGGAATTTGCAGAGTATACTAGCAGATAATCTCTCTCTCTCCCTCTCTTTCTCTTTTCCTTTTTCCCTCCTTCCCTCCCTCTCTCCATTTCATATAACATTTTGAAACTTTTAAAACTGAACCTATGGGGCCTGTGCAATGGCCCAGCAGCTAAATCTTTGCCTCGCAAGCACAGGGATCCCATATGGGTGCCAGTTTGTGTCCTAGCTGCTCCACTCCCCATCCAGCTTCTGCTTATTACCTGGGAAAGCATTAGAGGATGGTCTAAAGTCTTGGACCCTGCACTCAACATGGGAGACCCAGAAGAAGCTCCTGGCTTCTGGCTTTGGATTGCTTCAGCTCTGGCCATTGCAGGCATTGTGGAAGTGAACCAGCAGATGAAAGATCTTTCTCTCTGTATCTCGTTCTCTTTGTAAATGCATCTTTCCGAGAAATATAAATAAATCTTTGAAATAAATAAAAAAAAACCTGCATATATTTTCAGAGTGCAACATGATTTTTAGATAGTCAACAGATGAGTACATATTGTGAAATGATTCATACAATCAGGGTAAAATTTAAAAGAAAACTTTGTAATATGCCCATTTGTCCCAGAGTTCCATTTATTTCACGACTATGCTTCAGACCAGTTCGTGCATTTGTGTTGCCTCTCTTACTCGTGTTCATTCTTCACTGCTGTGCAGAAGGGTTTCCATTCCATAGGGCTTTGCTGGCTGACAGGACTGAGTCCATCAATGGACCAACCGATGGTGGGGAATTAGGCGGAACTACAATAAAATCAGGGCATTTGAGTTCCATTTCCTGTCTGAAAGCAGATTGTTCCTGAAAGGCAGTAGGCTTCTCGCTGAGATTTAATATTGAAAAGAACACACATACTAAGTTTACTTAGTCTTAATTTTATTGACACTGCTAAAAAAAAACCAGCCTATTCTATTTTATTATTTGTAATGATCCCATTCTTCAACAAATGACTGTAAGAAATCAATTCAATCCAGTAGTTATTTATATATTAACAGTTTTTTTTTTAATTTTGGTAAATTGTCATAGAATTTAATAAGAATTGTGAACATGGAGCCTCATACCCATTTATGGGACTACACCTGTACTCTAAGTTCCAGGTGCTCCTCTCTATGCACTTATGCAGCTCTTGCTTTGTACTGATAGATTCCTTTCTGCTCATCTGTCCATAAATCAGGACTCCACTTACACTTCTCCTTTTTAAGCACACCTAACTTCCTTCAAAAAAGTCCCCTTTTGTACTCAAAGCCTCTACATTCTCTTTGTAGACAAGGGGTAGGCTTTAGTCATCTTTTAACTTTTGTAACCCAGAAAAAGAGCTATATACCAGATAAATGGGAAACCAAGAATAACAGAAAAGGAAGAAATAAAATCACATGAGCTTGTGAATTACAGAAATAATTTATATATAATGAATATGGAAAGAAATATGAATATGAAAGAAAACACATGAATAGAATAGATGGGAAAGCAGAGCAAAATAAAACATATTTTACAAATAAATTTATTACATGAAAACACATGTATAAAATTTAGCAAAATTACTGAATAAACAATATTTATAGAGCTAGCTATCGATTTGGAAATTTGAGGAGGAACACATATTTTATAAGAAGGTCACAAAATAGTTTCAAGATAAGTAAAATTGAAATATTTAGAGTCTATATAATAACAAAAACTAAAGAAAACTCACAAATAATCTTCTGATGGAAAAAAAATATTGGGATAATTGTTTATGTCCAGATTCTCATTCACATGAAAAATAAGAAAGCTAAAATAAAACAGAATTGCTGTAAAAAATATTTGCAGTAAACATGACAAATAGGAAGTTAAGATTGATGAAATTATATAGAGACTATGTGCTGTGATAATATCAACATAGACAAAACCCACAACCTAAAAGGAATTTTAAATAATAAAAATATTAAGCCATTTTGTTTCAGGTTGCTAATCAGGACATAAACTGGATAAAGAAAGCATGAGGGTTTCCTTCCTATGACAAATATCCAGAAATAAGAGAAAATATATTATTAAGAATACATATCCCCATTCTGAAAGAACAAAACAAAAACTCTAAGTGGAGCCCATGTCTGGTTTCTGTGTGAAAAGGAAAACTTACGAATGAAAGTGTAGCACTCACTTGCCCAACATTACCCTAAAAAAGTGGCAGCTCCCTGTGCCACGGGTCACGAGACTCGGGAAGGTGGTATGTTCAAACTGTCCACGAGGCTGATGTCTACAAAACAGTGCTGATCAGCGGTTGCTGTGTGTGCGTGGCAGCAGGCAGGCGTGACCCAACAGCTGGCTCAGGCCAGATGAAACTGGAAATCCTGTTTAATTCATGCAGTTATCAGTAGCCAGGTTTACAGCCCATAAGTGGAATACTGACACTGTCTGACCCAGGGAGAAGCCTACAAGCAAGAATATTTAATAATCATCCAAGAGAAAGCAAGCGGGCCACGTTCTCTCTGCCCAGTCACTGCATGGGCTTCTCAGCAGCAAGAAGCACAGGCGGCCAGGATCTGAAGACACTGAAGAACAGCCCCCACCCTGAGCACCGGACAGCGGAACGAAGGACAAAGGAATACAGAGAAAACCAACGGGCAGAGGAAAACTGGTAAAACACTGCTAACATGTTTGTTCAGTGATATGAGCAGCAAGCGTGTCCAGAGTAGGATGCACAGTTGGGTCAAAAGGAAGAGTTGTTGGCGATCGAAAGGTACAACCAGTGGAATCTGGTCAAGCAAAGCTCCAGGAAAACAGAAAGCCATCAATTGGATGCTAGTGAGAGAAAAAGCAAGCTCCGGGACGGAGGGCTCGGCAGCAACAACAAAAAGTGTCCCTGACAACCTAATGTGTTGGGCAGTGAGCGACAGCTCTGAGGGGAGTCTGCAGGTGAATCATCGCCCCACCGAGAGGACATCTGAGGGCAAATTAAAAGTTGG